AGAGGAAAAAAAAATCATTAAATCTCAAATTCACTTTCCTGAACCATAAAATGGAAGTAACATTATCTAGTTCACTGATACGTGAAATAAGTAAAAAATGTTTGTGAAAGTGGTTTGTGAGTGAAGTTCTATGTAAATGTGGCACTACATAGTTTAAAAATTTAACCTTTACCCTACTCCTGTCATTACTGATTAAATACACACAAACATAACATAAAAAAAAAACTGCTGCAAAATCAGCCTTACAGGCCTCTTTTTAAAAAATTAGGCTTTCAGGGACGCCTGGGTGGCTCAGTCGGTTAAGCGGCTGCCTTCGGCTCAGGGCATGATCCCAGAGTCCTGGGATCGAGTCCCACATCGGGCTCTTTGCTCAGCAGGGAGCCTGCTTCTCCCTCTGCCTGCCTCTCCCCCTGCTTGTGTTCTGTCTCTCTCTCTGACAAATAAATAAATAAAATCTTAAAAAAAAAAATAAAGTCAAGAAGACTTTACAAGAAAGTCTTATAAAAAAAAAAATTAGGCTTTCAGATCAACTTCTTAAAAGTATTGGTAACTCATTTGTAAAATTACGTGCATTAAGTTACCAGACTGAAAATTCACTTGCTATACCAGGTGAAAGTCAGGAAATTTTTTAAATATTTCATATTCCCTTGACCAAGCCATTAGGTAATTATGAAAAGCCTGCTTGTTTGTATAAACTTTCAATGTGTTTTCTTGACTTACTGAATCCAAATTTTGCTCAGACTATGTGTTCTACCTCTTACCAGAATTCAAATTGAGACCTTTTCATATAAAGGTGAAAAGGATGCCGAGGAATGTCCACAGTAGTAAGAATTTACTCCCGTCATCTCAGATTACAATGATTTCATTATATTCCATAGTTTGGAAAGCCAGCAAGATAAACTGAAATTTGGGCGCCTGAGTGGCTCAGTTGGTTAAGCGACTGCCTTCGGCTCAGGTCATGATCCTGGAGTCCCTGGATTGAGTCCCGCATCGGGCTCCCTGCTCAGCACGGAGTCTGCTTCTCCCTCTGACCCTCCTCCCTCTCATGCTCTCTGTCTCTCATTCTCTCTCTCACAAATAAATAAAATCTTAAAAAAAAAAAAAAAAAAAAAAACAGAAATTTGCCCACTATGCACAATATTGTATAAAAGTCTAAAGTAGGGGCACCTGGCTGGCTCAGGTGATGGGCCATGTGACTCTTGATCTTGGGGTCGGTGAGTTCAAGAACCACATGTGGTGGTTTACTTAAAAAAAAAAAAATACTAAAAGTAAAACTCTAAACACAAGAGAGCATCTGCTTTAAATATGAAGACTAAAAGCATTGCATTACCCAATTCTGCTTATGTTTAAGCAGGAGAAAAAATATATACAATAAAGTTGACTCCATTAACTGAAAAAGCAGTAATAAAAATTACTAGCCTAAGTAAAAGATCTGATAGCAACCTGTTTTAAACTCATTACTAAAGTTAATTTCCTAGGGTGCCTGGCTGGCTCAGTCGTGGTTAAGCAACGGGCTCTTGGTTTCGGCTCAGATCATGATCTCAGGGTCGTGAGATCGAGCCCGGCACCAGACTTCTCGATGGGCGTGGAGCCTGCTTAGGATTCTCTGTCCCCCTCTCCCTCTGCTCATGCCTTGCTCTCACTCCCTCTCTAAAATAAATAAATCTATAAAGTTAATTTACTATTTACCCATTTTTTTCCTAACATGTATTAAGGAGTTATTTCAAAACATGTCCCCACCCTTCACGGACTACCAGAATAAGCTAGAGAGATGAGGCCCTGGTGTTTTAAAAAGGACAGCTCTCGGGGCGCCTGGGTAGCTCAGTCGTTACGCATCTGCCTTCGGCTCAGGTCATGATCCCAGGGTCCTGGGATCGAGCCCCACATCGGGCTCCCTGCTCAGCGGGAAGCCTGCTTCTCCCTCTCCCACTCCCCCTACTTGTGCTCCCTCTCTCGCTGTCTCTCTCTGTTAAATAAAATCTTAAAAAAAAAAAAAAAAGGACAGCTCTCAAGTGACTAGAATAGATGCATTCCTAGTATTGATGCATTCACAGAATGAATGATCAAAAGTGACCATCAAAACTTTACTCTTACCCCACGTGGAATCAATCATCACAGGGAAAAGGTAAGGAAAGGACAAAGCGAGCAACTACCTCACAAACCCAAATGTACTTTATGCTGACCCCTCCACTCTGAAAAATGTGAAATCATCTCTTCTCTTTACTAGTGTGGTTCATATATATGGGAGGGTAAGACCTGGTTCAGGAATGCTAAAAGGTAATAGATTTGACTCAAACAGCTACAAATGTTATAAAAACTATTCCTTAGACTTCTGACTTAATTTAATCTTCAGGGTGAACAGTCCTAGCCCCAAACTTCAATATTTCCTATCTGCAACCCACAAGTGTCCTTTTCCTCAACACAGCTTAGCTCTTCCTCTAGTACCATTAAATTATCCATATAAACTGATTCCAATTCCCCAGGATATAACTAAATAATGCTACAAAGAAGTTCAACAGGGTATGCAAAATAAGACACTGCAGGAACAAGAAAAGCCAGTACTTACATTCAAGTACCCAAATCCGAATCATTCAAACTCACTTTTCCTTTCTTCCACTCCCCACACCACTTATTGTTCGGTGACTAAAACTATGGGGAATTTTAGTCACCACAAACAAAACTGAACTACTGTACCCAGTAAAAGAGTGGACACAGGTAAAGGCTGATTCCTGATGACTGCCTTCCTTTTCTTCCTTTCCAATAAATTCCTCCCTGTCCTGTGCCCAACAGTCACTGGAGTTCCTCCCCACCTGGTAGATCCTATTTCCCTCCCACTCTCTATCCTGAAGGAGACAAAACGTTTGTTAAACGTTTAAAACGTTTAACGATGTGGCTCTCTCTAGATAGTGCTCTGCTGAATAACCAATAAGGGCTTTCATTAAAATTCCTCAGCACCCAAATCCAAAATATTACTACTAAACCGTCACTTACTGGAAAGCTACAACCATGAGCTTCCAAATTCAGTTTTTAAAACAAATTAAAAAAAAGAAACAAAAACAAAACCTCCTCCACATCCTTTTTGGTTATCATAGCAAGTTTACTCAAAGCCTAAATTCTTATGACCAGGAAGCATTCAAGTATAATTTCAAGTTTCCTCCCAAGGACACTAATAGATTAAAAGAGGAACCCATTGGTTGCATAGGGGGGGAAAGAAAAAGAACTTCCACTACCAGCACACCTACATTGTTTCACTTTTAAACACTGAAATAAAGACAAATCTGACCTTGAGCTGTACTTCCCCATCTTATTTCCCTCCCCCTCCCCAGACTTTTGTTCAATAAAGAGACATTGAAGGATTTACAGAACGAAATTAGTGCACTACACCTTTCTTCGATTTGAGTTCCTGGCCTTTTTTTCCTAATTTTCAAATTCCTGAATCCTAAATGTATGATGATACACTGGGACTACCCCTGAGGCTATTCACATGACCAACCTGGCATTCAAGGAAAGCAAGGGCCCTACAAAACATTCAGTAATTACGAAAAAATCTGAAGATCGATGGCACTGGATTCCAACCTTGTCTCACGCTAGAGAGCATTAAAAGCACAGAAGCCACACTTAAGAATTTTTGTTTTTATAATACTACAGTTTAACGGATATGGGGGTAATTCAAGTACCTAGGTCCAAAATGAAAGGAGTGAGGGGCAATTTTTAAAAAGCAGCCTGAGAATAACTAAATGGACACAATGGACATTTCGATCAAGTTCTGAAGAAATGAAGAACCTTGAGGGGCAAAGAAGCAATGAACAAAGAACTGTTCAAATCTGTACCCAAAGCCATTTATTTACAATAGAAAAAAGAAAATAGGATCTTCCGGGATGCCCTATGTTCAAAATCCAAAAGGTGAGAGCTTGGGATAGGTTAAGATCCTCAATGGAGTACAAACACGCATTCCGATCCCGGGGAGTCGACCAAAAGGCAGTTACTAAACGTTATTTGAAATAACTTTATTTTCCCACAGGTCTTTCCATTTGTCATAATGGTGCGTGTCAACAGGAAAATCAACGTTTTTACAAACTGGTAAACTGAGGCACGGGCATTCGAGGGACTGAGAGTCAGGGTCTCCTTGTTTCCTGTTCAAAGCTCTATCCACCAGAACCCCCAGCTAACGGTGCCAGAAAATGATTACAAGAACTTCGAGCTCTCCAGGAGAAGTCCGAGGAAAGGGACGGTGAGTGAGGTTTTCCTAGACTTCCCCAGAAGAAGGCGAGGTTGAACGTAAAGCCTAAAAAACCCCTCAACACAAGGTGTGCCGGCCTACAGAAAGGAAATCCCGATCGCAGCATCTCAGCTGGCCTCCGCTCAAGGATGAACCGCAGTGATTCCCACTCTGTCCTTCCCCAACCCTCATCCAAGACTGCCCTCCACCACAAACCCAAGAAGCCCTCCGCTCGCAAGGATTCTCCTTTGTGAGACTCCACAGCCGCCGCCCCACATTGGGCCTCCGGGGAAAAGCCACCGCCCCCACCCGCCATATTTCCCTGAGAGGCGCCCGCGCTGCAGCTCCTGGTGCTACTCTCCCCCATGTGGCGGGTGTTTCTTCCCCCCATCACCCCACCCAATTGTTCTCCGCATCCCAAGATGGCCCAGAAGCTCCCCTGGGGATCGCTCGTCCGCAGATAGCACCCGCCATCTCCTCCCCCTCCCCCGCCCCGGGACTCGCCCTCCCCCCAGCCGCCATTTTACAACCAACTCCTCCACCCTTTCGCCTCGGCCTCCTGGCCCGCGGGTGTCTGCAGCGAAGGACGCCAAAGGGGTCAAATTCCCGGGCCTGGGGCCTCCCACCGATCCGGGAGCCCACATGCCATTTCCTACTTCCCGAATCCACGTTCCCGACCGGGCTCGGAGACGATGCCGCCATTTTGTCTCCTGCTCCCGGCCTCTGTGGGCGGCGGCAGAGGGTCCGAGAATTCCAGCCCCCTGTTGCCCCCCCAACTCACCGTCGTATCGCTCAGCCTGCTCGGCCAGCTTCGCCTGGTACACCAGATCCTCCCGATCATCCATAGCGGCAGCGGCTCCGGCAGGGTCTGCGCGACGGATGGAAGCGGATAGCGTCTCCGACTCTCTCAGCCTCTCGCTCCGTGTCCGGGCAGCAAAAATGGCGGCGCCTCAATCCGGGACTTCCGCCTGCGCACGCGGACAACTGCTCAGCTCTATGGCAACCGCTCCCTGGCAACTGGCGCGGGGGGGCGGGTCCGGGAGCCCAGAGCCCGAAGAGGCTGGAACCAGCTAGACGTCCCTCCTCCCTGGGCTGGGCGGGCGTTGGAGGGCTGAGGCGGGAACTGCGACGGCTGGGAGGGAGAGCAGCCCCGAGAGAGAGGGGATGGGGGGGGGGAGCCGCCTGGACCGCTCCTGAAGAGAGTGAGCGAGGGATCCCGGGCTGTGACCGAGGGCCCACGCCTAGACCTGCGGGCAGAGAGAGCTGTAACGGTTTTTGTAATGGCAGGCCTTCCTCACTGAAACCAACTTTTCTCCTACCTTGCCCGTTTTCTCAGCCGAGCCCAGTCCTGGGCCTTTTCATACCATTTAGACACGGGGTAGAGTGGGGGTCTGCTATAAGTGGTAAGGAAAAAGGGCCTCGCAGCTCTCACACCTCAGCTCAGCCTTGCACTTCGCAATCCTTTTCTCCTCCCTTTTAGCCTCTTTTCCACCCTAGGCCCACCATGGATAGGAACAAGGAAGTTGTTAGAGAAGTCTAGTCTGGAGTGCAAGGTGTGGAAGAGTGGCACCAAGCTTAATCGAGATCGAGGAGGCAGAACTGGGGAAGAACCTGGCCTGTTTTGCTTCCCAATGGATTCCCAGCAACTTGTACTCGATAAAGTATTGGTTGCAAGACTGAAGATCAGGTTAGATTACAACTATCTGGTGGGCTGTGCGATAGATGTGGAATAAAAAGTAGACTGGGGCCTGCTGGTTGGCTCGGTCTGTAGAGCATGCAACTCTGGATCCTGAGTCCTGAGTTCGAGGAGCCTACTTTAAAAAACTAGTTTGGAACCGGGGCGCCTGGGTGGCTCAGTTGGTTGAGCGACTGCCTTCAGCTCGGGTCATGATCCTGGAGTCCCGGGATCGAGTCCCGCATCGGGCTCCCTGCTCGGCGGGGAGCCTGCTTCTCCCTCTGACCCTCCCCCCTCTCATGTACTCTCTCTCATTCTCACTCTCTCAAAAAAAAAAAAAAAAATCTTTAAAAAAAACTAGTTTGGAACCAAATTATGAAGAGCCTTGGATAGTGAGCTAAGAAGTTTGCACCTTATGCCGTGGGCACAAGGGAGTTACGTTTCTATGATTTTGCACGGAGGATGCCATCATAGATACACTTTGAATAGATTAATAAAGACTGCACAGCAGGCCCTGCAGAGCCACCTTGCGGCCCAGACACGGACACGGACACCACGTTCTTCCACAGCGCTGTGCATGGGGATCCCTTGGGCCCCCTCTCCTTCAAGCCGTTTGCAGACAAAGTTCCAAAAACAGCAGGAAACTTCCGTGCTCTGAGCACTGGGAAGAAAGGATTTGGTTATAAAGATTCCTGCTTTCTCAGGATTATTGGGGTTGTATGCGCCAGGGTGGTGGCTTCACAGGCCATCAATGGCTGTGCTGACAAGTCCGTCTATGGGGAGAAATCTGATGACGAGAATTTCATCCTGAAGCATATGGGTTCTGGCATCTGTGCGTGGCAAATGCAGGACCCAACACAAAGTTTTTCGTCTGCACCGCCAAGATTGAGAGAATGGATGGATGGCAAACACATGGTCTTTGGCAAGGTGAAAGAGGGCATGAATATCGTGGAAGCCATGGAGAGCTCTGGGTCCAGAAATGGCAAGATCAGCAAGAAGATCACCATTGCTGACTGGGAACAAATCTAATAAATTTGACTTGTGTTTTAACTACCACACCATTCCTTCTGTGGCTCAGGAGAGCACCTCTTTCACACCCATCTGGTTGAAATATTCTATAATCTTTGTGCTCTCACTGCAGTTCTATGGATTACATATTTTCCTTACTCCCCTCCAAGTCTAGTTGGATTGCAGAGTTACATGTATGATGATGAAATAAAAACTAAACAAACGAAAAAGATTGCACAGCCATGATTAAAAAAGAAATTAAACTATCAGGCTACAATAATACAGGTAAAAGGAATACATGGTTGCAGTGAAAATGGGAAGGAAAGGACAAATAGGAATAGTACTCAGAGAAAAGCTGCAAGAGTTTGTAGCTGGGGCATCTGGCTCAGTTGGTAGAACATGTGCCTCTTGACATCAGGGTTGTGAGTTCAAGCCCCACATTGAGTGTAGAGATTACTTAAAAAGTAACATCTTGAAGAAAAAAAAAATTGTAGCTGATCAGATGTGATTTTGTGAGGAGAAACAAAAATTAAAATAGACTTTCCATCTTCCCACCCTGAGTCACTGGGATAATGAGTGGTAGTACCATTAACAAAAAATAGGATTGGTAGGGAAAGTTGCTGATGTACTGCACAGAATGACATGAATTCCTTTTAGCACATGTTAGTTCTAAGGTTCTCACAGATCACCCACATAGAAATTACCAGCATGGAATTGGAAAAGGGGACTGGCATTCCAAACTGAAAGGAGGCTGCCATGGAAGCAACTGGAGAATATGTGCAGGTAGAAGACCAAACAAACCTTGAAGAATAGCTACTTTTACGAGATATGTGAAAGCAGAAGAGCCAGCTAAGGAGACTGGGTGGCTCCTTATTGCATTTTAAACTAAGCCCCTTTACACTTTAAACATACTTATCAAATTTAATGGTAAAAGTGAGAAAAGACCTAGGTTTTCCAGGCCTAATTCTATAAGTAAATATGTGACCTTCAGCAAACATCATGTTCCTCTGTAATTTAAGGAACTGGAGACCATATGATAGGCTACAAAACAAGTCTTAATAAATGTTAAAAGACTGAAATCGTACAAAATATCATTTCCTATCACAATGGATTGAAACTAGAAATAAAGAAAACTGGAAAATTAATAAATATGTGGAAATTAAATAACACTGTTAAATAACTAATGGGGCAAAGAAGAAATCACAAGGGAAATTAAAAAATACCTTGAGATGAATAAAAGCAAAAACACAATATACCAAAACTTCTGAGATGCAGCAAAAATAGTGCTAAGAGGGAAATTTATAGCTGTAAATGCCTACACTAGAAAAGAAAGATCTCAAATTAATAACCTAACTGTACACCTTAAGGAACTACAAAAAGAACAAACTAAACCCGAAATTAGCAGAAGGAAATAAAGATTAAAGTGGAAATAAAATAGAGAGTAGGAAAAAAAAAAATCTACCAAACAAAAGCTGGTTCTTTGAAAAGATCAACAAAATTGAAAAACCTTTAATTAGATTAAGAAGAAAAAAAAAGCCTCAAAATTAAAATCAAACAAGGGGCACCTGGTGACTCAGTTGAGTGTCCAACTCTTGATTTCAGATCAGGTCATGATCTCAGGGTGGTGGGATCGAGCCCTGCATCAGGCTTGTGCTGGGTGCAGACTCTGCTTGGGATTCTCTCTCTCCCTCTGCCCCCTGCACTCACTCTCTCTCTCTACAATAAAATCTTTAAAAAAAAAAAAAAAAAGTATAGGGGCAGTGGGGTGGCTCAGTCAGTTAAGCATCTGACTCCTGGTTTTGGCTCATGTCGTGATCTCATGGGTCGTAAGATGGAGCCCCATGTGGGGCTCTGCACTCAGCAGGAAGTCGGCTTGAAGATTCCCTCTGTCCCTCACCCTGCTCGTGCTCGCTCTCTCAAATTAATAAATCTTTTTGGGGGGCGCCTGGGTGGCTCAGTCGTTAGGCTGCTTCTCCCTCTCCCACTCCCCCTGCTTGTGTTCTCTCTCTCTGTCAAATAAATAAAATCTTTTTTAAAAAATCAAATTAATAAATCTTTTTAAAAAAAGTATAAAATCACATCTAAAACTAATGATGTAATGTATGGGGATTAACATAAGAATTTAAAAAATTAAAATAAAATAAAACTTTCAAATATACAGGAAAAAAAAAGTATAAAATCAGAAATGAAAGTGGTGACATGACTACAAACCTTACAGAAATAAGGAGTATGAGCATTCTGAACAATGGTACGCCAATAAACCAGGTAACAAATGGACAAATTCCTAGAAACATAGTGTGATATTGTGATATAGTAAAAAAAAAAAAAAAAATATATATATATATATATATATATATATATATATATATGGCCTTTATCCTTGGTTCCTGGAACAGAGCTCCTAAAACTCTCAAAACTTCCAAAGTGATACTGGTGAGAAGCTTCTGTTATTTATAATAAGCGCCTTTCTATTTTTTTTTTAAAGATTTTATTTATCTGAGAGAGAGAGAACATGAGCAGAGGGGAGGGGCAGAAGGAGAAGAAGAGGGAGAAGCAGGTTCCCCACTGAGCAGGGAGCACGGCACGGGGCTCCATCCCAGGCCCCGAGATCATGACCTGAGCCGAAGGCAGACGCTTAACCAACTGAGCCAGCCAGGCGCCCCCCCTTTTTGAGAGAGAGAGAGCAAGGGGAGGGGCAGAGGGAGAGAATCTTAAGCAGGCTCCATGCCCGACTCCGGACTCCATCTCACAACCCTGAGACCATGACCTGAGCCAAAATCAGGAGTTGGGTACTCAACTGACTAAGCCACCCAGGTGCCCCCCAAACAATGGGGTTTAGAGAGATTCCACGTTGGTGAATGTATCCACATGCCAGGAGGAGGGTGGCATACCCTAAACCACACAGGGTCAGAAGCTCCTGTGGTTGGGACCCTTCCAGAATTTACCTTATGTGCTTCTTGATCTAGTTGTTTGTATTCTTTATAATAAACCAGTAAGGATAAGCAAAGCGTTTCCATGAATTCTGTGAGCCTACTACAGCAAATTATTAAACCTGAAAAAACTGTGGTAATTCAAAAAATGCAGCCAAGTTGGACAGAAGTGTAGATAACCTGGAGACCCACTACTTGCAATTGGCATCTGAAGTGGGGAACAGTCTTGTGGAACGGAGCCCTTAACCTCCATATCATGGGTCTGTACTAACTCTGGGTAGTATCAGAATTAACTTAATTTGCAGAATACTCATAGATATCCAATTATCCATAGATAATTGGAAAATCATTTGGTGTGGGAACACAACATATTTGGTATCAGAAGTGTTGTGTGTAGAAACAGATCATAGCACATGCAAACTACCAAAACTGATTCAAGAAATAGAAAAACTGGGGGCACCTGGGTGGTTCAGTCAGTTAAGCGTCTTCCTTCTGCTCAGGTCATGATTCTGGGGTCCTGGGATCAAGCCCAGTGTCAGGCTCCCTCCTCAGCAGGGAATCGGCTTCTCCCTCTCCTGGCTTGTGCTCACTCGTGCTCTCTGTTGCTATCTCTGTCTCTCTCAAATAAATTAATAAAAGCTTTTTAAAAAAATAAATAATAAATTTAAAATAAATTTATTTTAAAAATAAATTTAATAAAATAATAAATTTAATAGATAATATTTAACATATAAATATTATTTATATTTTATATTATTATTTTATATTATTATATATTATATATTAGATAAATATATTTATAATATTTAATAATATTTACTATTTAATAAATAATAATAATAAAATAAATTTAATTTAAAAATTTAAAATAAAAATAGGGGCGCCTGGGTGGCTCAGTTGGTTAAGCAGCTGCCTTCGGCTCAGGTCATGATCCCAGGGTCCTGGGATCGAGCCCCGCATCGGGCTCCCTGCTCGGCGGGGAGCCTGCTTCTCCCTCTCCCTCTGCCTGCCTCTCTGCCTACTTGTTCTCTCTCTATCTCTGTCAAATAAATAAATAAATAAAATCTTAAAAAAAATTTTTTTAATAAAAATAAAGAAAAAAAGAATTAATATAGCATTCCTGGCTGGCTCAGTCAGAGGAGTATGAGGCTCTTGATCTCAGGGTTGTGAGTTCAAGCCACACATTAGGTGTAGAGACTACTACAAATGAACTTGAAAAAAAAGATAGTACAAGAATTAACACCAATCCTTCTTAAACTCTTCCAAAAAATAGCTGAGAGAACACTTCCTACCTCATTTACCTAGCACACCAAAGCTGGACAAAGACATGACAAGAAAACTACAGGTCAATATCTTTTATGAATAGGTGCAAAAATCTTCAACAAAATAATAAGCAAACTAAATACAACAGCATAGAGGGGCGCCTGGGTGGCTCAGTGGGTTAAATACCCAACTCTCGATTTCGGTTCAGGTCATGATCTCAGGGTCGTGAGATCAAGGCCCACCTCTGGCTCTGCGATCCGGAGGGAGTCTATCTGAGATTCTCTCTCTCCCTCTCCCTCAGCCCCTCCCCCTGTTGACTCTCTAAATGAATGAATAAATACATAAAATCTTTTTAAAAAGTAAAATCTTCAAATAAATCAATAAATAAATTCAGCAACATAGTAAAAGGATTATACACCATGAACAAATAAGAGTTAACCAGGAATGCAAAGATGTTTTAAGAAAATCAATGTAATTAATGCCCTACATTAATACAATGAAGGAGGAAAAAGAACATGATCTGCTCAATTGATACCAAAAAAAGCATTTAACAGGGTGCCTGGCTGGCTCAGTTGGTAGAGCATACAATTCATGATCCCAGCTTGTAGGTTCGAGCCGTACATTGGGTGTAGAGATTATTTAAAAACAAAATCTTTAGAAAAAGATTAATAAAATAAAATCTTTAGGGGTGTCTGGCTGGCTCAGTTGGTAGAACATGTGACTCTTCCTCTCAGGGTTGTAAGTTCGAGCCTCATGCTGGGTGTAGAGATTACTTTAAGATGTAAAATCTTGGGGCAACTGGGTGGCTCAGTCGTTAAGTATCTGCCTTCAGCTCAGGTCATGATCCCACGGTTCTGGGATCGAGCCCCACGTCGAGCCCCATGTCGGGCTCCCTGCTCAGCAGGAAGCCTGCTTCTCCCTCTCCTGCTCCCCCTGCTTGTGTTCCTGCTCTTGCTATGTCTCTCTCTGTCAAATAAATAAATTAAATCTTTAAAAAAATAAGGGCGCCTGGGTGGCTTAGTTGGTTGAGTGACTGCCTTCGGCTCGGGTCGTGATCCTGGGGTCCTGGGATCGAGCCCCGCATTGGGCTCCCTGCTCAGCGGGGAGTCTGCTTCTCCCTCTGCCTCTGCCCCTCCCCCTGCTTGTGTTCTCTCTCTCCCCCCACCAAAAAAAAAAACTTAAAAAAATAAAAATAAATTTAAAAAATATATATAAAACGAATGAGAAGAGTTCAAAAACAAGGAGGTCGTCAGCCATATTAAATTCTACAGAGACATGGAGATAAGCCATGAGGAAAAGCCATTGGATATAGCAAGTAGGTCACGAGCCAACCTCAGGAGCAGTTTTAAAGGGATGTTGGAGGCCAGACCGCATTTGACTAAAGCACAAAGGAGGCAAGAAAGTGGGAACAGTAAGTATGGAGTTCTCTTGAGAAGAATAGCAGTGAAGAGGTAGAGAGTGGTCATTTTAGAGAAACGAGTGGCCTCCAGAGGTAGCCACGCCGGCCCCCATTCTCACAAAACGTACCTCAGCCTCCAAAGCTCGCTCTGCTGCCATGCTGATGACAGGGCTGTCATGGACATGCAGAGATTTGAGGTGACCTCCTTTCAACCACTTGGTATTCTCTCCTGAACAGTGTCTCCTGAGACCGACTGAGGTCTGTCTGAAGCTGCCTCTTCCTAAGAAACTGCTGAGAAGGCAGAAATCTTAAACCGAGATCGATTCTCTGACTGTCCCGCCTGTCCTCTCAACACACAGAATTACGAGGGACAGAAATAACTGACAAGGCAACAAAAATATCAACAGAAACATTTTGTAAAATATTAATCTCCGTATAGTTAACATACAGTGTTATCTTAGCTTCAGGCATACAATACAGTGATTCAACAACTCTATACATGACTCATTGCGCATCAGGATACATACACTCTTAATCCCCATCACCTATTCCACCCCCCCACCTCCTCTCTGCGAACCATCAGTTTGTTCTCTACAGTTAAGAGTGTTTTGGGGGGCGCCTGGGTGGCTCAGTCATTAAGCGTCCTACTCTTGATCTCAGCTCAGGTCTTGGTCTCAGGGATGTGAGTTCAAGCCCTGTGTTGAACTCCACACTGGGCGTGGAGCCTACTTTAAAAAAAAAAAAAGTGTTTTTGGTTTGTCTCCTTTTTTTCTTCCTTTTTCCTCCCCCCCCCCTTTTTTTAGAGCTAGAGAGTGCACATGCAATTAACCGGGGGGGCAGGGGGTGTCAGAAGCAGAAGGAGAGAGAGAAAATCTTAAGATGGCTCCCTGCCCAGCATGAAGCCCAATGAGGGGCTCCATCTCATGACCCTGAGATCATGACCTGAGCCAAAATTGAGTTGGATGCTTAACCGACTGAACCACCCAGGCATCCTTACTTGTTTTGTATGGTGTTTGTCTTTCTCTGACTGGTTATTTTACTTTGCATTATATTCTCTAGATCCATCCATGTTGTTGCAAATGACAAGATTTCATTCTTTTTTATGGCTGAATAATATTCCATTGTGTATATACACCACATCTTCTTTGTCCATGCATCTACTGGTGGACACTTGGGCTGCTTCCACAGTTTGGCTATTGTAAATAATGCTGCAATAAAAATAAGTGTGCATATATCTTTTAAAAAAATATTTTAGTTTTTGTGAGAGAGAGCAAGTGAGCAAGGGAGCATGAGTGGGGGTGGGGGAGGGGCAGAGGGAGAAGCAGACTCCCCTCTGAGCAGGGAGCCTGATTCGGGACTCTGTCCCAGGACCCTGGGATCATGACCTGAACCAAAGGCAGACACATAACGGACTGAGCCACCCAGGCTCCCTGCATGTATCTTTTTGAATTAGTGTTTTGGTATTCTTTGGGTAAATATCCAGTAGTGGAATTACTAGATCACATGGTAGTTCTAATTTTAATTTTTTGGAGGAAGCTCCATACTGTTTTTCACAGTGGCTGCACCAGCTTACATTCCCACCAACAGTGTAAGAGGGTTCCTTTTTTCTCCACATCCTCACCAACACTTGTTTCTTGTGTTTTTGATTTTAGGCATTCTCACAGTTGTGAGGTGCTATTTCATTGTGGTTTTGATTTGAATTTCCCTGATGAGTGATGTTGAACATCTTGTCATGAGACACATGCCATCTGTTCATATCTCCTGCCCATTTTTTAATTGGATTATTTGGGGGTTCTTTTGGTGTCGGGTTGTATAAGTTATTTATATATTTTGGATACTAACCCTTTATTGGATATGTCATTTGCTGGTCTCTCTATTCTGTTCCATTGATCTGTGTGTCTATTTTTGTGCGACCACAGAACTGTTTTGACTACTACCGCTTGGTAGTGTATCTTGAAATCTGGGATTGCGTTACCTACAGCTTTTTCTTTTTTTAAGACTGCTTTGGCTATTTGGAGTCTTTTGTGATTCCATACAAATTTTAGGATTATTTGTTCTAGTTCTGTGAAAAATACTGTTGGTATTTTGATAGGGATTGCATTAAATCCGTAGATTGCTTTGAGTAGTATGGACATTTTAACAATATTTGTTCTTCCAATCCATGAACATGGACTATCTTTCCACTTGTTTGTGTTGTCTTCAATTTCTTTCATCAGTGTTTTATAGTTTTCAGAGTATAGGTCTTTCATCTCTTTGGTTGAGTTTATTCCTAGGTATTTTATTATTTTTGGTGCAATTATACATGGGATTGTTTTCTTTTCTTTTTTTTTTTTAAAGATTTTATTTATTTATTTGAGAGAGAGAATGAGAGAGAGAGAGCACATGAGAGGGGGGAGGGTCAGAGGGAGAAGCAGACCCCCCGCCGAGCAAGGAGCCCGATATGGGACTCGATCCCGGGACTCCAGGATCATGACCTGAGCCAAAGGCAGTCGCTTAACCAACTGAGCCACCCAGGCACCCTGTTTTCTTAATTTATCTTTCTACTACTTCATTATTAGTGTGTAGAAATGCAATGGATTTCTGTACATTGATTTTGAATCCTGTGACCTTACTGAATTCACTTATCACTTATCGTAGTTTTTGGTGGAGTCTTTAGGACTTTAGGTGGAGTTTTCTGTATATAGTATCGTGTCTTCTGAAAATAGTGAAAGTTTTTTAAAAGATAATTTATTTATTTATTTATTTATTTGAGAGATTTATTTGGGAGGGGGAGAGGGAGAGGGAAAGAATCTTAAGCAGAGGGTGCCTGGGTGGCTCAGTTGTTAAACATCTGCCTTTGGCTCAGGTCATGATCTCAGGGTCCTGGGATTGAGTCCTGCCTGGGACTCCTTGCTCAGCTGGGAGCCTGCTTCTCCCTCTGCTTGTGCTCTCTCTCTCTCCCCCCAATAAATAATAATAAATAATCAATCCTTGAAAGTGATATGCTGCAAGATAATGTATTTAACAAAATTTGGTGGCAAATATTCAATAAATAGTTTACATCTGTTAAAAATATAGTGAAAGGGCGCCTGGGTGGCTCAGTTGGTTAAGTGACTGCCTTCGGCTCAGGTCATGATCCTGGAGTCCCGGGATCGAGTCCTGCATTGGGCTCCCTGCTCGGCAGGGAGTCTGCTTCGTCCTCTGACCCTATCCCCTCTCATGTGTCCTCTCTCTCTCATTCTCTCTCTCTCAAATAAATAAATAAAATCTTTAAAAAAAATATATAGTGAAAGTTTTACTTTTTCCTGACCAATTTGGATGTCTTTCATTTCTTTTCTTTTTCTTGTTTGATTTCTGTGGCTCAGACTTCCAGTACTATGTTGAATAAAAAAGTAGAGGGGCGCCTGGGTGGCTCAGTCGTTGGACGTCTGCCTTCGGCTCAGGTCATGATCCCGGGGTCCTGGGATCGAGCCCCACATCGGGCTCCCTGCTCGGCGGGAAGCCTGCTTCTCCCTCTCCCACTCCCCCTGCTTGTGTTCCCACTCTCGCTGTCTCTCTCTGTCAAATAAATAAATAAAATCTTAAAAAAAAAAAAAAAAGTAGAAGCAGGGGCGCCTGGGTGGCTCAGTCGTTAAGCGTCTGCCTTCAGCTCAGGTCATGATCCCAGGGTCCTGGGATCGAGCCCCGCATCGGGCTCCCTGCTCCACGGGGAGCCTGCTTCTCCCTCTCCCACTCCCCCTGCTTGTGTTCCCTCTCTCCCTGTGTCTCTCTCTGTCAGATAAATAAAATCTTAAAAAAAAAAAAAAAGAATTCTTTAAAAATAAATAAATAAGCAGAAGCATTTTTGATATAGCATCTGGGACTATAAACAGTTATAAAAAATCATGGTGCACAGGGCGCTGGCTGGCTCAGTCCGTAGGACTTGTGACTCTTGATCTCAGGGTCATGAGTTTGAGCTCCACGTTGGGTGGAGAGATCACTTACAAAAGGAAATCATGGTGCTGTATTGAGGTGGTTCTCACAGTATGGTACTGCTCTTCTCACAGTTCCTGTGTTAATGAGTACTTCCTACTCCATTGAAAACCCTTTAAAACAATCACCAGGTCATTAAATCACGCCCTTACCTACAAATCTCCCAGCTTCATTGAAAAATTTCCTCTAATGGAAACAAGACCTCACCTGACCTGTCTTGAGTAAAGTATCCATACATGGTAGTGTACTAAGCACTACAAGAAGGAAATAGGACATAAAAAAATACCATGAGTCATTGCCTCCAGGACCTTGCAGTTTAGTTGTTGTTGTTTTTTTAAGTTATCATTGTCTTTTTATTTGTAAAAACAGGCTAATTATTTTATTTTAAATCTTTTGAATTTGTTTAAATTTTTAAAATATATGAATTACCTTTACAATATAGATGTATATATGAAAATGCACATTAAAAAATTCTCACAATGTGTAATTAAGTATAAAAGCCAAGAAATAAGATCACATGTTCAGTATTATTGCATTGTTAAAAATATAATTATACTTAGAAAACAATAAAAAATGCATTAAAAGAAGGTTAAAATCAGGGTTTTTTTTATTTTATTTTATTTTATTTTTTTAAAGATTTTATTTATTTATTTGAGACAGAGAGAATGAGATACAGAGAGCATGAGAGGGAAGAGGGTCAGAGGGAGAAGCAGACTCCCTGCCGAGCAGGGAGCCCGATGTGGGACTCGATCCAGGGACTCCAGGATCATGACCTGAGCCGAAGGCAGTCGCTTAACCAACTGAGCCACCCAGGCGCCCCTAAAATCAGGGTTTTTTTTAAAAGATTTTATTTATTTATTTGAGAGAGAGAGAGAATGAGAGAGAGCATGAGAGGGGAGAGGTCAGAGGGAGAAGCAGACTCCCCGCTAAGCAGGGAGCCTGATGTGGGACTCGATCCTGGGACTCCAGGATCACGACCTGAGCCGAAGGCAGTTGCTTAACTGACTGAGCCACCCAGGTGACCCAATATGATATTATTTATTACAATAGTTTTACAGCACATTATCATATGTGATAGGGTAAATTTTTTCTTCAAAATTTCACTCATTTTGTATTATTAGTTTCCCAGATGAACTGGAGAATCAATTGAAACATTCTCTCAAGATCCATTTTGATTTTGATCGAGTTGTCCTGAATTTATAGATTGATTAGGGGAAAAATGGGAATCTTTTAAAAAATACATCTTCCCATTTAGGAATACATTTCTCTAATTTTCTTCAAGTGTCTTTGGTATGATCTTAATTATTTTAAATAATTAGATTTCTAGAGATCTTATGTATTTCCATTTAATTTTGTTTCCAAGTATTTAAGAGACTATTGATATTATAAATGGGGTTTCCTTCTGCTTTTTTTTTTTTTTAAGATTTTATTTATTTATTTGACAGAGAGAGACACAGAGAGAGAGGGAACACAAGCAGGGGGAGTGGGACAGGGAGAAGCAAGCTTCCCACGGAGCAGGGAGCCCAATGCGGGGCTTGATCCCAGGACCCTGGGATCATGACCTGAGCTGAAGGCAGACACTTAACCATCTGAGCCACCCAGGCACCCCCTGCTTTTTATTTCTGATCATCACTGCTAATATATACAAGAATTAAGGATTTTTGAATTTACCTTACATCCATCTGCCTCACTGGACTTTATTCTAACAGTTTTTGTTTTGTTTTGTTTTGTTTTTTTGAGAGAGAGAGAGCACGGGGTGGGGGGGCAGAGGGAGACAGAGAGAGAATCTCCAGCAGACTCCCCATTGAGAGTGGCCCCAACGAGGGGCTCTATCTCGAAACCTTGAGATCATGATCATGACCTGAGCTGAAATCAAGAGTTGGTCACTTAACCAACTGAGCAACCCAGGCGCTCCTATTCTAATAGTTTTTCAGTTCATTGGCTTGGCTTTCCAGAGTGCACTGCTGAAAATTTTGTCTATACCTTTAGAATACATATATAGTTCCTATTCGCTTTTCTCCATATCTATGGAGCATCAGAGGAATATTGAATGAGATCAATATGGGCATTTATTGTTAAATTCCATATTTTAATGGAAATGTCTAATATTTCACCATTAAGAGTAATGTTTTCTATTGGTTTCTGATATGTAGTTATTGTTGTTTTTGTTTTGTTTTGTTTTTTCTTGAACTCACGACCCTGAGATCAAGACCTGAGTTGAGATCAAGAGTAGGACACTTAGGGCGCCTGGGTGGCTCAGTTGGTTAAGCGACTGCCTTCGGCTCAGGTCATGATCCTGGAGTCCCTGGATCGAGTCCCGCATCGGGCTCCCTGCTCGGCAGGGAGTCTGCTTCTCCCTCTGACCCTCTTCCCTCTCATGCTCTCTGTCTCTCATTCTCTCTGTCTCAAATAAATAAATAAAATCTTTAAAATAAAAAAAAAAGAGTAGGACACTTAACCGACTGAGACACCCAGGTGCCCCTAGTTTTTGTTTGTTTGTTTGTTTGTTTGTTTGTTTAATCAAGTTAAAGAGATCCTTCTATTTCTAATTTGGTAAGAATGTTTATCAAAAAATGAGTTTAACTCTTCCGGTCGTGGTGGGCAGAGGGCAGCGGCCGAATGTTGGCTACCAGAGTGTTTAGCCTAATTGGCAAGAGAGCAATTTCCACCTCACTGTGTGTACGAGCGCATGGAAGTGTTGTGAAGAGTGAAGACTATGTTCTCCCGAGTTCTGTCCAGGGGACAGATAGTCTGTGACTATCCCCTGCCCAATGTGGCCCCCGACAAGAACCTCTCTGCCAGCCTGAAGGCCTTGAAAGAGAAGGAGAAGGCTCTCCACTGATGAGAAGGTTGATTATACCGCATCCCATTCAATGAGAGCTTTGCTGAAATGAACAGGAGCACGAATGAGTAGAAGATGGTTGTGGGCACCACCATGTTCTTGGGCTTCACCGCTCTCATTCTGATTTGGGAGAAGCACTATGTGCACCTCCCGGCCCGCACACCTTTGAAGAGCAGTGAGTGGTCAAGCAGACCAAGAGGATGCTCGACATGAAGGTCAGCCCGATTCAGGCCTTCTCAGCCAAGTGGGACAACGACGAGAACAAGTGGAAGAAATGGGGGCCCACCACTCACCCATCTGAGCCTCACCCTGTTCTGCCACCTCCATGCAGCTCAGCATCTTCACTGGAAACCGTTATGTCGCAGCACCAGTGCTAATAAACGAGCAGTCTACATGAAAAAAAAAATGAGTGAGTGTTGGGGCACCTGGCTGGCTCAGTCAGTAGAGCCTGTGGCTCTTGAGCTTGGGGTTGTGAGTTCAAGCCTCACACTGGGTATAGAAACTAAAGAATTTTTTTTTTAAGGGTGTTGACTTTTTACTGCATGTTTTTTGGGCTCTATTTTTATGAACTATTTTTCTTTAATGAGTAAGTATGGTAAATTATATTAATAGAGCTTCTAATATGGACTCATATTTACACTGCTGGGATAACTTCTCTTTAGTTATATATATATGGCAGGCAGCCAGCAGCTAGCTTGCTTGGGGACACCTGTGTAAATTTGTTGGGAGGTTTCTGAGGGGCTTCCCCTCTTGGTAGGTTACAGGCAAGTGGGTTCAGCCCAGCAAATTACTGTCTTGTTCATTTGACCCACCGGAAAATACCCACTTTTATATTGTGCCAAAAGATGGGAGTACAGGGGGCGCCTGGGTGGCTCAGTCGGTTAAGCAGCTGCCTTCAGCTCAGGCCATGATCCTGGGGTCCTGGGATTGAGCCCCACATCTGGCTCCCCGCTCAGCAGAGAGCCTGCTTCTCCCTCTTCTTCTGCCTGCCACTCTGCCTATTTGTGCTCTCTCTCTCTGTCAAATAAATAAAATCTTAAAAAAAAAAAAAAAAAGATGGGAGTACAGGTGGCTCCCGGGCCCCTCCTCTCCGTCCTGCCATCTCTCCTCAATGCTCCTGTCAGGTGCCAAGGAGAGGCTTGGGCGTATGAACAATCCACCACATCTGCATCCTTCTGCTTTTGTGGCTGATCCCAAACAAGAGTCTGCTATTCTCTAAATCACTAGTAAAACCCATCACTTCCAAATCTCTTAAGATTCCATGACTTAGGAAGAAGGAAAGTTTATCTAATAAGTGGCTTGAGGACAATAGTAAATTAGAGAGAGAAGTTAGGTCTACACTTTATGCCACTTGCCAATTCGTTTTTAAATTTGACGAAGTAAGGTTAAGAATCAACTTACAGAGGGGTGTCGGTCGGTTAAGCATTGGCCTTCAGCTCAGGTCATGATCCCAGGGTCCTGGGATGGAGCCCCACATTGGGATCCCAAGGAGCCTGCTTCTCCCTCTCCCTCTGTCTGCTTCTCCCTCCGCTTGTGCTCTCTTTGTCAAATAAAATCTTTAAAAAAAAAAAGAATCAACTTAGAGAAATACTAGCATAAAATAGAATCAAATAACTCAGATCTCTGGAAGAAGGTTTTTTAGCATTGAAAGTAAAAATTGACTATTTGAATAAATAGTAAATCCTGGCACAGGCAGTTACGTGTCCGACTCTAGATTTCAGCTCAGGTCGTGATCTCAGGGTTGTGGGATCAAGCCCTGCATGGGGCTCCGTGCTCAGCGTGGAGTTGGCTTAGGAGACTCTCTCTCCCTCTCCCTCTGCCCCTCCCCACAAAGCTTGCACATGTACCTTCTCTCTCTCTTAAATAAACAAATCTTTTTTTTTTTTTTTAAGATTTTATTTATTTATTTGAGTGAGAGAGAGAATGAGAGACAGAGAGCATGAGAGGGAGGAGGGTCAGAGGGAGAAGCAGACTCCCTGCTGAGCAGGGAGCCCGACGTGGGACTCGATCCCGGGACTCCAGGATCATGACCTGAGCCGAAGGCAGTCGCTTAACCAACTGAGCCACCCAGGCGCCCTAAACAAATCTTTAAATAGTAAATCCAATAAATAAAATAGAAAAAGGGTATAACCTGATTCATACATGAGAAAATTCAAGGGGTAAATAAATGGAAATATATTCATTCTCACTGGTAATAAAAATATACAAATAAAGTGCCTGAGATATACTTTTTGAAAAATTAATTTTTAAATAAAATTTTAAAAATATTTTAACTATGGGGGTGCCTGGGTGGCTCAGTCATTAAGCGTCTGCCTTCAGCTCAGGTCATGGTCCCAGGGTCCTGGGATCGAGCCCCGCATCGGGCTCCCTGCTCCGAGGGAAGCCTGCTTCTCCCTCTCCCACTCCCCCTGCTTGTGTTCCCTCTCTTGCTGAGTCTCTCTCTGTCAAATAAATAAATAAAATCTTTAAAAAATTTTTAAACTATGGTAAAATACACAAAAAATTTATCATCTTAACCTTTTTATATTTTTAGAACTTCGTTTTATTTTTTTATTAAAAAATTTTTATTGTAGTTGAGCCATCTTAACCATTTTTTTAAGATTTTATTTGTTTCTAAATATTTTATTTATTTATTTGAGAGAGGGAGAGCGTTCGTGAGAGTGGGTAGAGGGGCAGATGGGGAGGGAGAGGGACAAGCCGACTTTACACGGAGTGTGAAGCTCAATGCGGGGCTCATTCTCATGATCCTGAGATCATGATCTGAGATGAAATCAAAAGTCAGACGTCTAACCAACTGAGCCACTCAGGCAACCCTAAGATTTTTTTAAGGAATCTCTATACCTAATGTGGGGCTCAAACTCACAATCCCAGGATCAAGAGTCACATACTCTATAGAGTGAGCCAGCCAAGCACCCCAAGATGTACTTTTAAATTTACTAAATTAGGGCGCCTGGGTGGCTCAGTTGGTTAAGCGACTGCCTTCTGCTCAGGTCATGATCCTGGAGTCCCGGGATCAAGTCCCGCGTCGGGCTCCCTGCTCGGCGGGGAGTCTGCTTCTCCCTCTGATCCTCCCCCTCTCATGTGCTCTCTCTCATTCTCTCTCTCTGAAATAAATAAAATCTTTAAAAATAAATAAATAAATAAAATAAATTTACTAAAATTTTTTTTTTAAGTTGAATGATGAAAAAAAATCGAATGGTGGTCCATGCTTTCCAGGTTACTCGCTGGCAGTGTGGACAATGGGTAAACACCCTTTGGAAAGCAAAATATTCAAATGTGGTGATAGCCATGACCCAGTAAACCTACTCCTGGGAATTTAGGCTAAAAATAATTTGGTTGAACCAAAGGCTGTATTCATGAAGGTATTTGTAAGTTTTCCTATTACTACTGTAAGAAATTACAACAGATTTTGTGACTTAAAACAACACAAATATATTATAGTTGTGGGGGATAAAGAAGTCCTAAAATCCAGGTGTCACCAGGGATGTGTTCCTTCCGGAGGCTCTGAGGGTGAATCTATGTTCTTGACATTTTTAACTTCTAGAGTCAGCCTGTGTTACTGGGCTTATTGCCCTTCCTCCATCTTCAAGGCACCTTCTTGGAACCTCTGGTTCCATTGTCATATCTCCTTTTCTGACTCTGACTCGTCCTTCATCCTTCTTACAAAGATACTTGTGATTGCATTGGAACTACCAGGTAATCCAGAATAATCTTCCCATGTTGACATCCTTATTCACAACTGCAAAATCCCTTTTGCCATGTAAAGTAACATATTCACAGGTTCTAGGGATTAAGATGTGGACATCTTTGGAGGACCATTGTTTTGTATTGCACAGTATCACTAACAGATTTTGTTAATATAGCCACAATATCATTATTACACCCAACAAGATTAACATTTATTTATTCATTCATTTTTATTTATTTTTTTAAGATTTTATTTATTTGAGAGAGAGAGGGCACAAACAGGGGGGAGGGGCAGAGGGAGGAGGAGAAGCAGACTCCCCGCTGAGCGTGGAGCCCGATGCAGGGCTCAATCTCACGAACCCAAGATCATGACCTGAGCCAAAACCAAGAGTTGGACACTCGACTGAGCCACCCAGGTGCCCCTATTTTCTTTTTTTTTCTTTTTTTTTTTTTTAAAGATTTTATTTATTTATTTGAGAGAGAGAGCACATGAGAGGGGGGAGGGTCAGAAGGAGAAGCAGACTCCCTGCCGAGCAGGGAGCCCGATGCGGGACTCGATCCGGGGACTCCAGGATCATGACCTGAGCCGAAGGCAGTCGCTTAACCAACTGAGCCACCCAGGCGCCCGCCCCTATTTTCTAATACCATCTAATATTCAGCCCATGTTCAATTTCCCATGTTTGTCTCAAATGGTTTTTTTTCCCCAGTTGGTTTACCTGAATCAGGATACAAACTAAACTCACAAAATATATCACTTGATAGAGCTCTTAAGTCTCTTTTTATCCATAACAGATCTTCCTTCCTGTCCCTTTTCTTTTTCATACCATTTATTTGAGAAGAAACTGGGCCATTTGTCTTATAGAATATCTCACATCCTGGATTTGTTTCTTCACTTCCTTATGGTGTTATTTAACTTCTTCCTGTATTTCTCATATTTCCTGTGAACTGATAGCTGGATTAGAGTCAGGTTCAATTTTTTAATTTTTATTTTAATGCCTTAGAGGTGGTGCTTCCTGTTGTATCCATCAGATACACTCAATGTCTTGTTCACTTTTAGTGTGGCTAACACTGACAAGAGACAAATAATAATTTTATTATACTCAGAACAATGTTTTTTTTAAAATTTTCTGTACCATTGAAATATAATTATTATGCAATATACAATGTTATATTAGTTTCAGGTGTGCAACATGGGGATTTGGCAACACATCATTCAGTGCTCACCACGGTAAATGTGGTCACCATCTGTCACCATTCAATGTTATTACATTATTTACTGTATTTCCTATGCTGTACTTTTCATTATCATGATTTATTTCTTTTATTACTGAAAATTTGTATCTCTTAGTCCCCTTCACCTATTCTGTCCCCAGTCATCTCCCGTTGGCAACTACCAGTTTGTTTTCTGTATTTAAGAGTCTGTTTGGTTTTTTGTTTGATTTGTTTTTTAGAGTAAAATCATATGCTGTTTGTCTTTCTCTGTCTCACTTATTTCCCTTAGCGTAATACTCTTTAGGTCCATCCATGTCGTCACAAATGGCAAGATCTCATTCTTTTTTATGGCCGAGTAATATTCCACTATATATATATTTACTACCACATCTTCTTTATCCATTCATCTATTTCTTTAAGAAGATTTTATTTATTTATTTGACAGAGAGAGACATAGCCAGAGAGGGAACACAAGCAGGGGGAGTGGGAGAGGGAGAAGCAGGCCTCCCACTGAGCAGGGAGCCCGATGCGGGACTCGATCCCAGGACCCTGAGATCATGACCTGAGCTGAAGGTAGACGCTTAACCCACTGAGCCACCCAGGCGTCCCTATCCATTCATCTCTTGATGGACCCTTGGGTTGCTTCCATATCTTGGCTATTGTAAATAATGCTGCAATAAACATAGGGGTGCATATATCTTTTCAAATTAGTGTTTTCACTTTTGGGGGTAAATAGTAATGGAATTACTGGATCATATGGTATTTCTATTTTTAATTTTTTTTTAAAGATTTTATTTATTTGACAGAGAGAGACACAGCAAGAGAGGGAACACAAGCAGGGGGAGTGGGAGAGGGAGAAGCAGGCTTCTCGCTGGAGCCGGGAGCCTGATGCAGGGCTCGATCCCAGGACCCTGGGATCATGACCTGAGCCGAAGGCAGACGCTTAACGACTGAGCCACCCAGGCGCCCCTATTTATTTATTTTTAAGTAATCTCTACATCCAACATGGGGCTCGTGACCTCAACTCATGACCCCAAGATCAAGAGTGGCATGCTTTACCAACTGACCAGCCAGGCACCCCAACACTTGTTATTTCTTGTCGAGACAAATATTTTTATTACTTATTTATTTTTATTTATTTGAGACAAATATTTTTATTTTATTTTATTTTTTTAAAGATCTTATTTATTTATTTGACAGAGAGAGAGAGCGCACGCGAGAGGGAACACAAGCAGGGGGAGTGGGAGAAGGAGAAGCAGGCTTCCTGTGGAGCAGGGAGCCCGATGCGGGGCTCGATCCCAGGATCCCGGGATCATGACCTGAGCAGAAGGCAGACGCTTAACGACTGAGCCACCCAGGCGCCCAAGAGACAAATATTTTTAAATAATTTTATTGAGATATAATTTACACACCATGAATCCACCTGTTTTAAGCATAAAATTTAATGAATTTTAGTGTATTTACAGAGTTATATACCCGTTGCCGCAGTCTAATTTTAGAACATTTCCATCACACTAAAATGAAACTTTTGAGCCCATTTACAGTCAATCCCCATTCCTACTCCCAGCCCCAGGCAGCCGTTAATCTATTTTCTGTCTCATAGATTTGCCCTTTACAGAAACAAATCATGTTTTGTGTGCCCCGCTGTTTTGGTCTCTCTGTTAACTCTTGGTTGGTTTCTCCTTTGGATTCAGACATATTAACTGCACTCTACCTTTTTTTTTCCTTGCTCCTATTTCTCTCAATCCCTCATTTACGTTAATTTTTAAGAACAGTGTCTCTAGGTTTATGCTTTTCTTGCTTTGGGCATTTCGTGCCATCTTGTGTTCCTCAGTTACCCGTTCTCTGCTCCCCTAGATTATCAGGGCCCTGCCGGCCCACAGGGAACTGCTATGAGCTTTATAAAATCGGTGCCCCTCCAACCCCCAGTCTTAGAGCCTTGCTGCTTAGCAAGCTAAAGGGGGCTGGTTGGATTTAAAACTATGCCCCCTGGAGGCAGGTAAAGCCAGGAACCAGGCCTGAGTCTTGGCCAGCAGAGCCCAGGCTGGATCTCAAGTCCCTTCCTCCATGCCCTACGCGTCCTTGGTTAGGTCATAACCTCTACATCCACACGCAGCAGCACTGCTAGTAAGACTAGACATTTAGTTCTCCTTTATGATAGTAAAGAGGTTTACTATTAGTCATTAACAAATATTTGCTGAGTGTTTTCCATGTGGTAATCATGTGAGGTGCTACAGATAAAAGTGAATAAACTGGACACAACCCTGACCTTAAGAAGTTTGCTGTCAGAGTCTTTCCATTCGCAGTAATCTCTTCCCATGTGCCTTTCCTCTCAGTCCCCAAGTCCCTGTTCCAAACACCTACTTTGGCAGGTGCTGAAAATCATGGTTGGGGCGCCAGGCTGGCTCAGTGGGTAGAGCATGCGACTCTTCCTCTCTGGGTCATGAGTTCAAGCAAGCCCCATGTTGGGTATAGAGATAACTTAAAAAAATAAAATAAATTAAAAATCATGCTTGCATGGGGCGCCTGGGTGGCTTAGTTGGTTAAGCGACTGCCTTTGGCTCAGGTCATGATCCTGGAGTCCCTGGATCGAGTCCCGCGTCGGGCTCCCTGCTCGGCGGGGAGTCTGCTTCTCCCTCTGACCCTCCCCCCTCTCATGTACTCTCTCTCATTCTCGCTCTCTCAAATAAATAAATAAATCTTAAAAAAAAAAATCATGCTTGCACATGCAAAATAGTCAAGTTATAAAATAAAATAAAGAGAAACTATAGGGCACCCGCTGGCTCAGTCTGTAGAACGTGCAACTCTTGATCTCAGGGTCATGACTTCGAACCTCGTGTTGCACTTGGAGCCTACCTAAAAATAATTAAAAAAAGAAAAACTATAAACATTTGGGTATTGACTTGTCTAGTCATCACTAGGATGCTTCCTAGTAATTTGTGCTTCTTTATACATTTTAGTCAAATAGTTTATTTTATGGGGTATCTTCTGTAGATTGCAAAAATTGCCACAATCCTTCCCTTTTCCTATATCTGCTCCCCTTTGCAATATCCCCTTTACAGCTCATCCCATTAAGAGGTGGAGTCTATTTCCTCAATTCTTGAATCCTGGCTGGCCTTGAGACTCACTTTGATCAATAGAATGCAGTGGAATTGGCATTGTGCCAGTTTTAAGGCCAGGCCTTAAGAGGCTCTGCGTGATTCTGTCTGTTCTTTTGGAACTCTGTTAATAGCCATGAAAACCAGTCCAGGCTACTCTACTGGAGGACATGAAGCAGAGATAAACTGTGTCAGCTGAGGGCCAATCCAAGACCAGCCAGCCCACAATCAGAAGCTAAGTAGACCAGAAGAATGGTCCAGCTGAGCCAACCCAAATTGCTAAGCTGCAGAACTGTAAGATAAATAAAATTTTGTGGTTCTGTTTTTTTTTTTAATTTTTTAAGTAATCTCTATCCAACATGGGGCTCAAACTTACTACCCAGAGATCAAGAGTCACACACTCTACCGACTGAGCCAGCCAGACGTCCCAGTGATTATTGTTTTAAGCCACTAAGTATTGACATGGTTTATTTTGCAGCAAAAGCTAACTGATACAGCAACTTTCTCTTTTCTTTTTTTTAAATATTTATCTATTTAAGCAATCTCTACACCCAACATGGGGCTCAAACTCATGACCCAGATATCAAGAGTTATATGCTCTTCCGACTGAGCCAGCCAGGAGCCGTGACACAGTAATTTTCTTATGTCCCTAGGATTATTACTACCCACTGCTCCCACTTGGCTTTTGATGATATCTAGCCTATCTTCTGTTTTTCTTTTTTTTCTTTTTTTCTTTTTTGTCAAAAATACATACCCTGGTTATCTACTGTGTGTTCAAGCAGAGCTGGACTTTATTGGGGAAATAAACCAATGAGCAATCTTGGTCTGATGACAGACATGTACAGGTAATTTCAGTTCAGTGTGATGTTACAATGGTAAGCACATATTGCCAACAGAGGACATGGGACAGACATCTAACCCAAATTAGAGTGTCAGATAAGACTGGTAATTGAAGGTGAGAGAGAAGATGAGTCAGATAGAGGTATAGACTGTAAACAAAAGCCTAAGGGGCAAGTAGGTGGGTCAGGTAAAGAAAGGTCAAGAAATTCGGTGTGGCTAGAGCCCAGAGTACGGGAGGGAGAGCAAGGAAAGCTAAGGCTGGAGAGAGAAGCAGGAACTGGAACATAAAAGAGCTTCTATCTAATCTGCTGCAGGAGAATGTAATCAAATATAATATGAATTATAGAAAGCTCACTAGGGGCGCCTGGGTGGCTCAGTCAGTTAAGTGTCTGCCTTTGGCTCAGGTCTGATCCCGGGGTCCTGGGACTGAGTCCCACATTGGGCTCCCTGCTCAGCGGGGAGCCTGCTTCTCTCTCTGCCCCTCCCCCCCCACTTGTGCTTTCTCTCTCTTTCGCAAAAATAAATAAAATCTTAAAAAAAAAAAAAGAAAAGAAAAAGAAAGCTCACTAGGACTGCAATGTGACAGAGGGACTGGAAGGGCTGAGACCAGAAGCGGGAGACCAGTTAGGTGGCTATTGAGGTTGTCTAGATGAGAGAAGTTGGCAGTTTGAACTAAGGTAGCAGTAGTGGGGATGAAGTTAAGTGGATTGATTTTATAGATGCTTAGGAGTTTAGATTTGGTAAGCGACTGGAAATGGGATGATGAACGAGAAGAGGGAATAAAGGATGGTCCCAGGTTTTGGGGTTGGCCAAATGCAGACAGAACTGAGATAGGGAATGTGGATGAGGAGCAGATAGGGGAGGAGAAGGGGTGCCTGGCTGGCTCAGTCAGTAGAGCATGCGATTCTTGATTTCAGGCTTGTAAGTTTGAGGCCCACATTGGGTGTAGAGATTACTTAAAATCTAAGGAAGGAAGGGAGGGAGGGAGGAAGAAAAGGGAAGAGATGATGAATTCAATTTGGAATATGTGGTGACTTCAGGACATCCAAATGGAGAGGTCTAGCAGGCAGTTAGGTATCTCTAAGACATGACAATATTTTATATATTTGCTCATTATCTAACTTAGAAAAATAAAAGGATAGGAGGTGGCTGATGGTTGAGAAATTTAGGGACTAGAGGAATCCTTGAAATGAAAGAAGGGCTTTGGGAAAAGTGAAAGAACTGGAAGCCTAGAAGGTAGAGGTCAGAGAGTAAAATGTTTAAGATTCCAGGATGTAAGAGTACAAGATAATGGATTTTAAGCGGACAAAAAAAAAAAAAAGAGAGAGAGAGAGGCCAAGGTAATGGATGGGTCACCCCAGATGATAGCAGGCCTTGAGGTGAAGAGACACAGTAAACCAGATGTCAAAATCTTTCATAAATGAGAGGGAGGTTTGTTGATGACCGTAAACTGGGTAGGGAGCATAATCGGATGGCAAGAGCTTCAAAGATGGAGTAAAGTCCAAAATGGGGTTCCATACGTTTAGAGAAGACCCAGTGCAGCTTGAGGATGCCAGGAACAAAATGAGAGGTGACGGGGGGACTTACACTTGGGGCAGTTAGCAAGATGACAAGAGTATGAGGGACGGAATGAGCGGATTGGCCCCAAATGTCCAGGTGTGGCCTGTTTATGCTTCAGAAGGAAGGCAGTACCCCTGGAGGAAAGAGCAGCACCCCACAGCAGTATTTCTCTAAAGGGCAGCCAGGGATAGAACTGCCAGGTTTAGCAAATAAAAACAGGATACTCAGTTTAATTTCAATTTCAGATATTACATGGGACATACTTACACTACAAAATTGTTGGCTATCTGAGGTGATTCTAGCATCTTACTAATTTCTACAAAGCTTTGGTGTCACATGGTCATAACCTCTTCCAGCTGGTTAGCCATTCGCCTATCCAATTCAACTCCTTTGTATTAGAGTGGGTTAACTGCTGCAACTATTTGACCTCAAAACATATAGTGGTTTGTTTTTTTTTTTTAAAGATTTTATTTATTTATTTGACAGAGAGAGACATAGCGAGAGCAGGAACACAAGCAGGGGGAGTGGGAGAGGGAGAAGCAGGCTTCCCACAGAGCAGGGAGCCCGATGTGGGACTCGATCCCAGGACCCTGGGATCACGACCTGAGCCGAAGGCAGACGCTTAACGACTGAGCCACCCAGGTGCCCTTTATATAGTGGTTTTTTTAAAAAAGATTTTTAAAATTTATTTAAAATTTTAAAAGATTTTAAGTAATCACTACTCCCAACATGGGGCTCAATCTTACAACCCCGAGATCGAGTCATGTGTTCCACCAACTGACCCAGCCAGATGCCCCCATATAACAGTTGAACATAAGTTTATTTCTTGCTACCTAGCTGGTAAGTAAGCTGGAAAGGCCCTTCTTCATGCAATCACTTAGGGGTCAGGTGGATGAAGTCTCTGCCCTGGTGTCAGCTCCATTCCAGCCTGATGGAAACAGAGAACATGGAGGAGCACCTGCAGCAGGTTTCTATAAGCCAGGCCTGAGAGGGACGCAGGCACTCCTGCACACAGTCTATTGGCTGAACTCAATCACATGGTCGTACATAACAGCAAGGGAGTCAGGCAGTGTGCACAGAAGAGAACATGGACTTGAATGAGTAATCTCTGCCATACCCCTTATGAGGTCTATCTCCGGATCCCCTAGGGGTCAAAAGATTCTGGATCCATAACCTTTGCTTTAGAAGAACAGGCCTCTCTCCCCCTCCCACAAACACACAATATCCTGATTGCTACTGAAAATGTGATTAAAGACAGAATTAAAGATGATCACGTTCTTTCCTTTTTTTTTTTCCAGGTATGGCAGTTACTTATGATAGCCAAAAGTGGTACCTATCAAATAGATCTCACTAAAAGGAATAGGAAGTCTGCTCTGTTGTTCCAATTCTAGCTGCTAGCCCGCCAAGTCAGTGCTTTATCTTTCCATTACGATGAAATTTACCACAGATCCCATTCCAAACAACAATGTTCTCCCCCAGTTCTTGCTTATGTAAATGTCGGTCGTCATGACAACAAGAAGACTGCCCTTGATCATATGGCAGAGCTTGCTAAGAAACAAGAAGCAACTAGCTGGTTCAAACATAAATCTAATCCCACAGGCATGCCTAACATGGGAAATGAGAAACTGGGGCAATTTTTTATTCAAAAGAAAAAGTGAAAGTAGAGGAAGAACTTGATTCTACTGGAAGAAAAGATGTGGCCAAAGAATTTAAATAAACCACTTCCTCTTGTTACATTCTTTTTTGGGGATGGGATCTGGCTTTCTCCTTCTTTCTTGTTCTATCACAAGGCTCCTAAAAGGATGTGGGCCCCAGACTCAGGCCAATTTTCTCTTTATTTCCAACCCACCTTGATACTAGAGTGGGGTCATGCCCTTTCCTATAATTTACAGAAAGAATTCACAAGGACCTTGCCTCTTTTAGCTGCATTCTTGACTTGCTGCCTCTGAGGTTTATGTTATTGAGACCCAAATAGCAAGGTAAGAAGTAATTACTTTGAATAGTGTCCAGGACATATTAAGCTACTTCCATTACAATCAGCATTTTAGGCCAAAATAATTTGGATGTAATCTTGACATTATTGGTAACGGGATTCGGTCTTTTTGAAAGTATTGCTAAGGACGCCTGAGTGGCTCAGTTAAGCGTCTGCCTTCAGCTCAGGTCATGATCCCAGGGTCCTGGGATCGAGCCCCACATCGGGCTCCCCGCTCAGTGGTTAGGCTGCTTCTCCCTCTCCCTCTCCCTCTGCCTGCCGCTTCACCTGCTTCTGCACTCTCTGTCAAATAAATAAATAAAATCTTTTAAAAAAGGAAAAGAAAAAGAAAGTACTGTGAAAACTAGAAATTAAAAATAAGACAACTAGTGGGGAACCCATATGCACTGTTAGTGGGAATGCAAACTGGTGCAGCCATTGTGGAAAACCTTATGGAGTTTCCTCAAAAAGTTAAAAATGGCACTACCCTATGATCCAGTAATTGCCCTACTGGGTATTTACCCAAAGAATACAAACACACTAATTCAAAGAGATATATGCACCCCTAGGTTTATTGCAGCATTATTTACAATAGCCAAACTATGGAAGCAGCCCAAGCAAGTATCTATCGATTGATGAATGGATAAAGATGTGAGGTACAGCGCACACACACACAGAAATATTATTCAGTCATAAAAAAAATGGAATCTTTGCAAAAAAAAAAACAAGAGTCAGGGGTGCCTGGGTGGCTCACTGGGTTAACTGTCCGAATCTTGGTTTTGGCTCAGGTCACAATCTCGTGGTCTTGAGATCGAACCTGGCATCAGATTATGCACTCAGTGCGGAGTCTGCTTCAGATTCTTTCTCCCTCTCCCTCTGCCCCTCCCCAATCCCACACTCCCTCGCTCTCTCCCTTTCTCTCAAAAAAAAAAAAAAAAAGACACTTAAAAAAAGAGTTGGGGTGCTTAAAGAAAAAAAAAAATGAAATCTTGCCATTCCCAATAACATGGATGGAACTGGAGAGTATAATGCTAAATAAAATAAGCCAGTCAGATAAAGACAAATACTGTATGATTTCACTCCTATATAGAATTTCAGAAACAAAGTAAATGAACAAAGGAGAAAGAGACAAACCAAAAAACAGACTCTTAACTATAGAGAACTGATGGTTACCAGAGGGGAGGAGGGTGGAGGGATGGGTGAAATGGGTAAAGGGGGTTAAGAATGCACTTTTTTTTTTTTTTTTTTAGTTAAGTAATCTCTACACTCAATGTGGGGCTTGAACTCACAACCCTGAGATCAAGAGTCACATGCTCTCTGGACTGAGACAGCCAGACGCCCCAAGAGTGCACTTGTCGTGATGAGCACTGAGTAACGTATGGAACTGTTGGGTCACTGTATCATACGCCTGAAACTAATATAGCACTGTATGTTCACACTGGAATTAAAATTAAAAAGATACAACCAGTGAATAATCTTCATTTATGAATATAGGTCCCCTCTAAGTGATCCAGTCACCTCTCCTTCTATGCAAAAGGAAAGGAACATGGCCACAGGAAAGGACCCAAACCCTTGAGACTAGGCTTTAACAAGCATTTCATGTTTCTGCAACAGAAGGACATTCCTAAATGGGTTTTACTCTCACATTAAAATGAACCTAGTCTTTGAGCATACACAAGATCAGGAAAACGAGAGACAGCAGCTGAGAGGTAATCGGCTGGGTCCCTGTTCCCCAGCACTAAAATCTCTGAAGGAAACATTCTTCGTTCAATAAACATGTATTGTCTGCTGTGAGCCAGGCTCTGTGCTGGACTCTCAAGATGGAATGAACAAATCACATGTAGCTCCTGCCCTGCTGGAGTGGACTTACAGTCTAAGAGATGGAATGTAATTACCACAGAAATATATAATCACAGGGCACCTGGGTGGCTCAGTTGGTTAAGCGACTGCCTTCGGCTCAGGTCGTGATCCTGGAGTCCCGGGATCGAGTCCCACATCGGGCTCCCTGCTAAGCAGGGAGTCTGCTTCTCCCTCTGACCTTCCGCCCTCTCATGCTGTCTCTCATTCTCTCTCTCGCAAATAAATAAAAAATCTTAAAAAAAAAAAAAAATTATAATGTAAAAAAAAAAGAAATATATAATCACAGTATGAGATGACCACCATGAAAGTAAATGATGTGAATGATGATGAGATTTAGGGATTCAGGGCAGGAATCTCTGAGGAAGCAACATTTAAGCTGGAACCAAGACAGTAGATCAGAGTTGGGGGGGAGGGAGGTCTTAGAATGGGCAAGGGCTTTCATCTGAGAAGCTGATTTGCTCCCCTCCTTTAAGTAATCACTATGCCCAACATGGGGCTTGAACTCACGACCCCAAAATCAAGAGTAGCATGCTAGAGCCAGCCAGGTACCCCTCATCTGAGAAGCTGAAAGGAAAGCCTGCCAGGAGCAGAGACTAAGGCAGGCTGAGGAAAAGGTGAGCACTTCCATTGTATGGAATGCAGACTGTGTATGATTAAGAGGAAGCACTAAAGGATTTTTTTAAGCAAGGGAATGCCACGATCAAGTCTGCCAAGGAAGGCCATCCTGGTTGCTCTCTAATGAACAGATGAGGGAAAGTGAGTGGCCAGGAAGAGGTTGTCACAGTGGTCCACATGGAAGACGGCTGCTTGGGTGGTGGTGACAGAGGCATAAAGCGAGGATTTTGGAGGCAGAGCTGACAGAATTTGGTGATGAGGGGGACATTGGGGGGAGAGACGTCTATAAATGGGCAGGCAACTGGAACATTAAACAGAATCATCAAAGCTATTTATGGTCATGTACAGTCATGCACCAGACAAGGGCACTCAGTTGAGGAGGCAAGAGGGGTTGTAATCCAAATCACACTCTTGTTGGCACTTGTCAAGCCATGAGCCTGGCATGGGGCTGTCCACATAGAGGAAGGGGGGCCTTTTCCAAGTGGTTATTCACAAAAAGGTGCTGCCCACCAAGCTGTGTCTGGTGACCTGGACGGAACACTTACTTTCAGGATGTCACCACGGGCCCCCATGGGAGTTATGGGTGTGGATTTTGTCCTGCTACTCCTAGAATGTAAGATTCACAAGGGCAAGGATCTATTCTGTACAGGAGCCACCACACACAGAACTGCTCTAGCCTGGTCAAAACTAGTCACAGAAGCACCCAGTTAGCCCTGACAGCTAAATAGCCCGCAAAATATGGAGTCAATTTCTCCCTTTGGTGACAATAGGAGTACTTCTTACTTATTTACTAAAATACTTCATATTTGGAACAACCTCTTTCTCTGGCACTACAGGTATCCTTAGGTTCGTGTGATACTCTCTCAAAACAAAGAATTCCAAAAAGATGAGTGAGGTCAAGATTGCTATCACCCCACGGTAGGTAATCTTTAGACACTGTAGCAACATCAGCCAAGACTTTGTGTTAGGGCTCCCAAGCGTTAAGGGCTCATGGGAAGCCTGCAGTTAGGCTGGAGGTCTAAGGGGAGAGGGAGGTAGCACTGTGTACAAACAGCACAGCAACTCTAGGAAGCTCGATCCGCATCAGAGAGAACACTAGGGCAGCCCAAAGGTATGCAACAAACAGTATTATACCCTTATATAGTACCAAATTCATTTTCACTCACAGACTTTCCTGGCTTAAAAGAGAGAAGAGGAGCCCATCTTAATCTCAACTCAGGGTTTTACTTTCCTAGTTTCCTTGCCTAGTACTCAGAACCTTCGAGAAGCCTATCTGGGTCACCAGCTTGAAATGAAGCTAGAAACTCCGTAAAATTTTCCCAAAGTAAACAGAGGCTTTGAACAAGTCAACCTCCACATGCCTGATATACAACTATTCTCCCTCCCACTCCCAGAAAGTTAAATGTCCAAAGTCTTCCCCATTTGAAGTGGGAGGACAGAAAAAATTCTGTCCAAGTCAGTTTACCTTTGACCATTTAGTCAATATTCTAGAGCTCACTTTTATAGGATTAATGCAGATCTCAAATCTAAGAAAATCAGGACAACCACAGAAATATTGGAAGTGTCCCCTTGACTAAAAGCCAGCCTGAGTGCTCATTTTTGCTTGCCTTCATCCTATATCCCTAGAGGATCCTCAAGCATTGCTCTTTTTTATGAACCTCACCTTTTGTTTAAAGATTTTATTTATTTGAGAGAGGGAGCAAGTGGTGGGAAGGGGTAGAGGGGGAGAGAGAGAGAGCAGCAGATTCCCCACCGAGCAGAAAGCCCAATGCAGGGCTCAATCTCAGGACCCTGAGATCATGACCTGAGCCGATGGCAGACACTTAACCGACTGAGCCACCCAGGTGCCCCACTTTCATTTATTTGGGGGGGGCAGACAGAGGGAGAGGGAAAGAATCTCAAGCAGACTCCTCGTTGAGTGCAGAGCCTGATGCGGGGCTCGATCCCACAACTCTAAGATCATGACCCAAGCCAAAACTAAGAGAGAGACGCTCAGCTGACTGAGCCACCCAGGTGCCCCTGAACCTCACTTTTTTTTTTTTTAAGGTTTTATTTATTTGACAGAGAGAGAGATATAGTGAGAGAGGGAACACAAGCAGGGGGAGTGGGAAAGGGAGAAGCAGGCTTCCCGCCTAGCAGGGAGCCCGATGCGGGGCTCGATCCCAGGACCCAGATCATGACCTGAGCTGCAGGCAGATGCTTAACGACTGAACCACCCAGGCACCCCTGAACCTCACTTCTTGATAGTTAGTTCCTGTTTGCCCTCCACCCATTCTTTTTATCTTCAGGGTATGCATGGCAGTAGAAGTCCAAATACTTAGCCTCCTCCTGCCAAACTTAAGAGGCCTATTTTCACGTTTTCTTCTATGGAGGGGGCTTCTCTCTTCAGATCTGTAAGAGGAATAGAATTTAATCTGAAAATCAGGGTGATAAATACAGGAGTCGGTATGAGCACTCAAGGTTATGTGAAGGAACCCCAACACTCAACATATTAAAACAAGATTTTAACACTTTATTTTTATCGATAAAAAGTTGAAACATACTTAAATCACCTTGCTGTTAAGCTTGTGTATGCCAAAGTTGGCTCCCTTTGGAGGAGATTCCTTTATTTAACTCTGGGTTGACAATCTGCTATGTCTACAGCAGTAATGAGATGTTTTATTTTGGGGCCAAGGCAGAATACTGTATAAGTAACTGGCAAAGCTTGTCCTTTTCATTTCATTTTTTTTAAAAAGTAATACCTACGCCCAGTGTGGGGCTTGAACTCAAGACCCCAAGGTCAAGAATTGCATGGTTTGACTGAGCCAGCCAGGCTCCCCTGTCCTTCTCATTTTAAAACTTCACCACCGGTAGGACACAAAACTAGAGTATAATGTCAACCTTTTAGGTATACATAGTGTCACACTGTGTCTCTACATACACACATGCTTTGAGAAACGATGGAAAGAACATAATGTTTGACCTTTTCTTTATTTACTAAATTATCTATTCTGAAAATGTGCTACTTACATAAAAAAGAAGAAATTACACTATTATCTACACTAACATTCTAAAAACCTATTATATAACATCTAAATTTCTCATTTGCTTTATAAAGCCCCCTACCATATCCTTATTTTCTTTACACCCACATATAACCATTTCTGGACAAATTTGATGTTCTCTGTCCACATTATTCCAGCTTTCTGATCATTACATAATGACTCTTACATTTGTCTCAAATCAATTTATTTCATGATTTCTGGAGACCCTTCAAAATATCACCAACGATCAACCTCAGCTTTAATGAGTACCTACAGATTACGTATAATTGCTTCTTTATCTGATTATATGATTGCTTGTAGGCTGTTGAATGTACACACCTCTTACTCCCTAAGCATAAAAGATTTAGCTCTTTTGTGAAAAATATTCAAAGATTACTTTCTTCAAAAGATCACCAAGCCAAACATTTGGCCATATTTTTATTTACTACATATACTATAAACATATACAATACATGCTACAAAAAAACATTTTTTTTAAATTTAACTGTCAAGAAAGTGTATAGTGTTATAATACAATGGCACATGTTCATATTTTATTTCAAACTGGTTTGCTTACCACCCATTTCAAACCATTAATAGTGAAATGTTACTTAAGGATAATTAAAAATTATCTATTTGCATTATTAACAATAAACAATTCCAACACATTAATAAGAATTAACCATGTCAAATATTAGTATCCAAAAACTGGGCTTTTGCAGAAATGATTATATAAAATATAGCAGCCAATTACAGTTTACTTTGCTCTGTGACAATGTACATATGCACTGGAATCGGATTCTAGCATTTGCTTTTGGAAGATACTTATTAGGAGTCCTTTGATTTAAGGTCCAACAACTATCACACCCAGCCAAATCCAACCTAACAGTTCATATAATGGCTTCAGACAACTGATCATTAAAAATTCTTATGATTTGGGTAGAGTTGAATGTTCCACTAATATTACATAACAAAAAGAGACATTACAAGCCAATATCAAAGTCAAAGGCAAAAGAAAATACAAACATTCAAATCAGTTTATGACAAGGTTTTTCTACAAGTATTTTAGATGTCATACTTTCAGGAAAACAAGATTTTAATGTGTATTTGGATTTGGATTTTACAGTATCTATGCTCTAACTGAAAATTTAACAGTAGTGAGATGGAATTAAGTCTAGTATTGCAAATCTGTTCATTTAACATTATTGAGCACCCACTATGTGCATTGCACTGTGCTAACTTTTAAAAGTTGAATATTAATGTCTTTATCAAGCATTACCTTAGTGTGAGGTAAAAATACATTAAATTAGCGTCAACTCATTAGTTTGCTTGTGGTATGTAATCCTGTGTCAGCTGGCTTCCCTGTGCCATATAAAGAGCTTCTGCATACCCCTCATTCACTCACACAAACATCTGCACACCGACTATGCCAGGTATTGTGCTAGTCACCGGGATACCATGATTTGGTATATGTTCAAAGAATGCATATTAATCATTAACCTATGTAAAAACAATTAGAAAGATACATTACTTTTCTAAAATGAGGCCCAAAGCAAAATATAAGGTGTTTCTATGGGTCATATCACACCATAGACCAGTAAGTGCCTTCCTAGACTGGGAACTAACTTTGAAGGTTTCATATTGTAGTCTAAATAGCCTAGATCATTTTTGGTCTCAGAAGTCTATTCTTGGAGCACCTGACCCCATATAAACCACTCCATACTTAAAAGGATTTGTAAACTAAACTGGAACATAAAGAAAAAGAGCCAAAAATGAAGGCAGTTGATAATGTAATGCACTTCAAGCACTATTCTGGCCATGTAAAATGAATAATACATAAGTAATTCATGATTGGTTCAAATGTTTTTCAAAGAGCTAACCCTACCCCAAACTCATGTAATTTTAACTTGACTTTTATACAAGTTGCATATAAAGCAAAGGGCAGAATTTGGCCCTACAACCATCTATGGAATAGTCTAAGTGATTGGTCCTTCCACTCTAAGCAAGTAGAAGCTAAGAATTTCAAAGAGTCCCCTAATAGGATACTGGCACTCAGGAGAAATGGCCCTGCTGGATCCCACTAGCCAGGAGTCTGTTTAGCTGTGGTAGCAGTGTGAACCTACTATGACCCCTTGAGGGAAGGCAGAAAGCTGGGAGTTTGGGTGTCCACTCAGTGAATCCAATACTGGCTTAAAGCTATGCACTGAATAAAGTGCTCTGCACATCCTGCTTGTCATCTGGAATGAAAAGAAACACTTTTCTTGAGAATGAACCTATTTGTAGGTTTGGGGGAAAAGAATGACAAGGATTTAAAGAATCCCAAGAAAAAGTATGAAGCATTGACTAGAAAGGAAGACAAATGCCTCTAGTAGTGTCCTCAGAAATCTCAGGATTTGAACTGTCAGAATGAGTCATACAGTGGTCATGTTCTATAAATGAAAAAGCAATCCCACTGGGTACTTACTATTCACACGGTGCAAGATTACTTCATGGGGGTGGAAGGGAACAGTCTATTGCCATTTGATAGCATTGTTTCAAAATGAAAACAAAACCATTGAATAAATCAGGGTAAGCAGCGTGCAATATTCCTCTCCTGTCCGTCAGTTTTCCACAGGTTGATTTGCACTACCAGAGGGAAAGCAGGCAAAATATCCATCCCTTCTGATACACTCAGGCATGGCTGTTACCACCTAAAATTGCCAATTCAGAAGTTAACACACGAGCCCTCCAGTTTCGTACCCTGAATATGATAAATGAGACTAGAGATGTAATTCAGTCTAAAAAGATCACAGGTAAGAGAATGCTTATATAAACTAGACTGCTTTGACATCTGTAAGAAAACTGTATAGATGACAATCGGGAAAAAAAAAAAAAAAGATTGTTCCCATCTGTCAGCAAAACTGTTAGTTGAGCTATACTCAGCTGAAGTCCTCATCAGGATTCTGTTGATCCAGCAGACGGACATGTGTGAATGGGAAGTGACCTCGTTTGCCATTACACTCCCCTTCCCACTGACCACTCACATTAATCTTCGTAACCTTTACCAGCTCACCGACCTGCAGGAGGAGAATAAGGAAAGTGCTTTATTTCCAGTTATGAATGCAAACTGAAAAACTCCATTCTCTGGTTAGGCATACCCTGCCCACGTGATTGCTCTAGGGCTGACATTACAGAAATGGCTATTTGCTGCCTCCCAAGCCCCAGCCACCAGACTGATTACTTGTGGTTAGTGCAGGCAGAAGGAAGAAGGGACTTTAGCACTGCAGAAAAACAGAGAGTACAGAAAATAGAAAGGATCCTAGAAAATGATACTTTTTTGGAAATTTTAATCATCTTTGGATGAGCAATCCCAACTAGAATGACCCAGTATTCCTTTTCTTGGTACCCACTACTCTTAGCTTCCTCCTTGCCCCACAGGCTGCGGCCTAGGGGAAGAGGTCCCTTACCCTCACTGGCATACAACAGCAGTGCAATCCCCCAACCACTCGTGTGCATGGATCACTGCCTGCTACTGCCTGCAGAGCAGAAGGTCCTCATGGAATGCAACTTCATTTGGTCCCAGAAAATGAAGTGTTCCTATCACCTTCCTACCAAGGCAAGGCTTTTCCCACCTGGGAAGGTAAAGGTTAAAACTCCAAATTCCATCAGCTCTCTGCAAAGCCCCTACCTTCTTCATCAAGCTCTACTTGGCAGGCCACTGCCTGCCAGCTCCCCATTCCCACCCCACCATGTACTAACAGACCTTGTTGCTCCCTCAATGCCACTCGGTACCTATTCATGAACAATAAGGAGACATCATATTTTTGCTTGTATATGAAAAGCTTTCCTTTGGGCGCCTGGGTGGCTCAGTTGGTTAAGCGACTGCCTTCGGCTCAGGTCATGATCCTGGAGTCCCGGGATCGAGTCCCGCATCGGGCTCCCTGCTCGGCAGGGAGTCTGCTTCTCCCTCTGACCCTCCTCCCTCTCATGCTCTCTGTCTCTCATTCTCTCTCTCTCTCAAATAAATAAATAAAATCTTAAAAAAAAAAAAAAAGAAAAGAAAAAAGAAAAGCTTTCCTTTGCAACATCAACTATAAAGTTTTGACAATCTAGGATATACCACTATTCTATAAAACTTAAGACAAAATCAGTCTGATGAATGGATTCATCTTGTGGCAAAATACTGAACAATGGTGAGGTAAGTGGTGAGACACTGGACTAAAGAACATTATCCTTTGATTATCAAAATCTTGAGTTCTGAGGCTACAAGAGGTTTCTAAGCGTAACTGTTCATTTGGCTTCATTAAGTTACTAACTACTATTTATTGAACTCTCACTAAGTACTGTAAAGGATTTTTTTTTTTTTTAAAGTAGGCTCCAGGGCGCCTGGGTGGCTCAGTCGGTAAGCGACTGCCTTCAGCTCAGGTCATGATCTCAAGGTCCTGGGATCGAGCCCCACATTGGGCTCCCTGCTCTGTGGGAAGCCTGCTTCTCCCTCTCCCACTCCCCCTGCTTGTGTTCCCTCTCTCGCTGTCTCTCTCTCTGACAAATAAATATCTTTTAAATAAATAAATAAAGTAGGCTCCATGCCCAACGTGCGGCTGGAATTCAAGAGATCAAGAGTTGCATGCTCTACTGATTGAGCCAGTCAGGTGCCCCTACTGTACAGAATACTTTATATAAATTAACTTCTAGTCATTATAATAACCTTGTACGACAGGAATTTTTACATTTTATAGATGAAAAAACCGAGGTTCAGAGCAATTACAGATATACCTGAGGTCACACAGCCACTAGCAAGGCTGGGATTTGAGCTCAGAAGTATCAGCTCCAAAGCCAATTTATGTTTCTACCATATCAACTACTGGCCAAAGTCAACTCAAGTCTAGGACCAGGGCCTTCTGTAAAACCAGCTTGATCTCGGGGTGCCTGGGTGGCTCAGTTGGTTAGGCGACTGCCTTCGGCTCAGGTCATGATCCTGGAGTCCCGGGATCGAGTCCCGCATTGGGCTCCCTGATCGGCAGGGAGTCTGCTTCTGCCTCTGACCCTCCCTCCTCTCATGCTCTATCTCATTCTCTCTCTCAAATAAATAAAATCTTTAAAAAAAAAAACAAAAACAGCTTGATCTCACTCACAGGACAAACAGCTTGCCTACTGACCTATAATTTCCTAAAGAACTACTGACAACCACAGAGGCCAAAGATTGTGGGGGTCATAGGATGCTGAGAAAAGGAAGACAGAAACTAGAGAATATCTGACATAAAAGGGAAGATACAAGAGTGAGAAAAGGCAGCAGCTCAGTCTGCTGATGTTGGGAAGATTAAGGCTGACAGGGTAAGGGGAGAAGAAAGGGATGATACTGCATACCCATCCTTGCAAGCACATCCAGTCCCTACAGGCTACTAAGCACCAGCGTTCTTTGTTATCAGCAATCTTCTAATTCGAAGTTCCTGACACCCAAGCAAGTCAACCATGACAAGTCAAGATCTTCCTAGTCTTCTGGGGAAAGAAAGACCAGGACCTCAAAGTGAAAATTTCCTAGCTAGTAAAAACAATCTGAAGGTTGTTCTTATACCCCCAATTCTAGTTCTCAGACTTCATTTTTTAAGTAAACTCTACGCCCAACGTGGGGCTCAAACTCACAACCCCAAGCTCAAGTGTCATCATGCTCTACCAACTTACCGGGCCAGCCAGGCACCCCATGAGTTCTGACTTTATCTTACCTGCTCCTTTTTTTAAACTCTTGCAGTACTGCATCAGGAACAACATCCACTTGATAACATCTGACTACTCTGTAGTGAATTTTCCTTGTTTCCGACCTGTCAACTATCCTTGACTGTCCCCCCCACCCCCCACCCCACTGGAATTAATGTCACCATGCTGCTAAGCCCCTTGCTACGTTAAGGTCAATTATATCAAGTGCAGTACTTCTTTTCCCCATTTTAGTATTTATTTGTATTTTGTTTAAAAAGATTTATTTATGTTAATATTTATATTTTTATATATTTATCTGAGAGAGAGAGAGAGCGCTCCCAAAAGGGAGGGGCAGAGGGAGAGAATCTGAGGCAGACTCCTCGCTGAGCACGGAGCAGGAAGCTGGATCTCAGAAGGCTGAGACCATGACCAGAGCTGAAACCAGGAGTCACAGACTTAACCAACTACACCACCCAGGCGCCCCTATACTTTCTGTTAAAAAACACATCATGCTAAGTGCTATTCTGAAAGCTGGACCCAGAATAATAGAAGTTCCTAACCTTAAGAAAGAGAAAAATGGTTGGGGGATGTGTATGCTCATGTACTCATGTCAAAAATCTAAATTGCCACTCATGTTAGGTTCCCTCCCAGATGGGGACAAAGGGGCCAATTTAAGAAGCTGGCTTGACAGGGCACCTGACTGCTTCAGTCAGTACAGCATGTGACTCTTGATGGGGTAGTGAGTTCAAGCCCCACATTGGGTGTAGAGCTTCTTTGAGGCTGGGGGTCGGGGGGAAGCTACTTTGACAACATCCCAGCTAACACCCCTAACAGCTATCATATCTAAATTCATCATTTTACTGAGATTAAAAACACAAAAAAGGTACATGAGGGAACATTCTGGAGTGCTGGAAATGTTTTATATTTTCATCTGGGTGGTTATCCCATAAGTGCATATACACGTAAACTCCAAGTTGTATACTCAGCATCAGTACTTTTTACCAAATGATTGATTTCATATCTAATGAAAAGATGGGGGGGGGGGGCGCCTGGGTGGCTCAGTTGTTAAGCGTCTGCCTTCGGCTCAGGTCGTGATCCCAGAGTCCTGGGATCGAGCCCCGCATCGGGCTCCCTGCTCAGCAGGAAGCCTGCTTCTCCCTCTCCCACTCCCCCTGCTTGTGTTCCTTCTCTCGCTGTGTCTCTTTCTGTCAAATGAATAAATAAAATCTTTAAAAAAAAAAAAAAAAAAAAAGATGGGGCACCTGGGTGGCTCAGTTGGGTAAGCATCTGCTTTGGGCTCAGGTCATGATGCCAGGGTCCTAGGATCCAGCCCAATGGGCTCCCTGCTCAGCAGGGAGTCTGCTTCTCCCTCTTGCTCTCTCTTGAATAAATAAATAAATAATCTTTAAAAACTTTTTGAAAAGATGAAAAGAAGAATTTATTTTACCCAGATTTCCTAGGTGTTTTTTATTTTTTGAAGATTTTATTTATTTGACAGAGAGAGACACAGCGAGAGCAGGAACACAAGCAGGGGGAGTGGGAGAGGGAGAAGCAGGCCTCCCGCTGAGCAGGGAGCCAGATGCGGGGCTCCATCCCAGGACCCTGGGATCATGACCTGAGCTGAAGGCAGACTCTTAACGACGGAGCTGCCCAGGCTCCCCCTAGGTGTTTTTTAGAAGATGGTTCTTTAGGGGGCACCTGGGTGGCTCAGTTGGTTAAGTGTCCAACTCTTTTTTTTTTTTTTTAAAGATTTTATTTATTTGACAGAGAGCACAAGTAGGCAGAGTGGCAGGCAGAGGGAGAGGGAGAAACAGGCTCTCCGCTGAGCAGGGAGCCAGATGTGGGGCTCGATCCCAGGACCCCAGGATCATGACCTGAGCCTAAGGCAGCCACTTAACCAACTGAGCCACCCAGGCGCCCCAAGTGTCCAACTCTTGATTTCAGATCAGGTCGTGATCTCCGGGTCATGGGATTGAGCCCCACGTTGGGCTCCACGCTCAGCGAGGAGTCTACTAGAGATTCTCTCTCCCTCTCCCCTGCTCCTCCCCCTGCTCACACGCATGCACATGTGCACGCTCTATATAATAAACCAATCTTTAAAAAAAAAAAAAAAAGATGGTTCTTCAGGATATATCCTTAACCCCACCATTCTACTTGATAGCAAAACTGGGTATAGGTTTAAACACTTCTCTTTTCTCTCAATGCTATATTGTTTTTATTCTTAAGCATTTATTTATTTTAAAGATTTTTATTTATTTTTTTTAAAAAGAAGATTTTTATTTATTTGACAGAGAGAGACACAGCGAGAGAAGGAACACAAGCAGGGGGAGTGGGAGAGGGAGAAGCAGGCTTCCTGCCGAGCAGGGAGCCCAACGCAGGGCTC